CTTCCATTAACGCTCTTCCTTCGCCACCCTTCCACTTCCTCTTGGGCTGGGTACTTCCTGGACCGGCCTTTTATAAATACTTCTTATAAAATTCAAAATTAATTTGGTTCTTATAAAAATTGCTTTTGGACCCAGGCCGGGGCAATGAATACACCAAGATTCAATAAGCAACTTTTGGATCATGATATATACACCTCCTTTTTTTTATAATTACACATTTTTTTTAAAAATATTAAAATTTTAAAATATTCTTAATTTTTTATTTTTTATTAATTTTTTAATTTTACATTAATAATATTTAATTTAGTATTTTTTTTCACACATTTTTTCTCATTTTTTTAACTTTTACATGCACTTCCTTACCTTTTCTTCATCCCACTTATTTTGGTAGCATGTAAAAATTAAAAGAAAATTAAATGTGTAAAAATAAAGAAAAAATAAAAAATTAAAAATTAGAGGTGTAAAATTAAAAAATTAAAAAAAATTATAATTTTTTATAATTTTTAAAAAAAAAATAAAAGAGGTGTATATATCATGAGCCGCAACTTTTTTACACATAGGATAATATTTTTACAAAATTTCTACATTGAGTATATTTTTAAAAAATTGAAAAAATAAGTTGTATTTGAAGTACACAATGTTGAAAGTAAAAATATTGTTTTCAAACACAATTATTCATGATTTGTTATTATTTTTTAATTTAAGTTAATAGAAGTCGTATTTAAAATACATGATATTTGATTTTTAAAATTTTTATTTTATTTTTAATGAAATTCGTGCTTTTAATTTGTCTTTTTTAAAAGTTACAAATCATATTATTAAATAATATTTAGTTACTTAATTCACCAAAGATTAAAAAAATATATATATACTCTAATTAATAATAATAAGTTTGTCGTATCGACTTTTATATATTTAACGCAATCGACTTATCTTAGTATTTTTAGAAGTTAGCTTACATGAGAGCATTTTAATATTTTAAGAGATTTTTTTTTCTAATTTTTATCTAATTTAATGTTTTTATATAATTAATATTTTAGTTTATATAATGTACATGTTAAATACTTATTATATAAAACTAATAAAGATTTAAAATAAATTATGTATATAAATAAATATTATATTTTAATATATGATTTATATTTAACATTACAATAAATATTTTTAAATATATAAATTATATTTTAAACTTATGATAAATAATTTATATTTTAACACAAAATTATATTTATTCATTGATAATTTATTTTAGAATAATGATATTTGATTCATAAATAAGTATGATAAATAAAACCAAATTAAATATGAAGTTAAGAAAAGCTCTAAAAACTATCTCATTGATATATTCACTTGTATTTTATATATAGTGGTTGATTGATGGTTGATGGTTGATATTTATTATAAATTAAATTTTAATATTATTAAAATAAATTATCAATAATAAAAATAATTTATTTATTTATCTTAAATATAAAATATAATTTATATATTCTAATATAATGTTTATTTATATAATTTATTATAAATTTTAATCATATATAATAAATATTTGGTCTATAAAATGCACAAACTAAAATATTAAATTTTATATATTTTTTAAAATTAGCCTTATATTATACTCTTTTGTCCCAATCAATTATCTTTTCTCTTCTAATTACCACATCTTATTGTCCCTCATTTATATGAAGAGGTAGAATTAGGGTGCATGCTCAATAAAAAGTTATAATTAATATATTTTATCAAATTAAAAAATATATTTTTAATTAAGAATATTTTAGTTTAAAAATAATTAATAAAAAATATAAGTATAATTTTATATAAAAAATAATAATTATTCTACATTAAATCTTATAGTAATTAAGAAAGTAGCATATGATTAAAATATTCATCGACCGGAAAAAAGAAATTTAAAATTAATATACCACAAATTACCAATAGTGAATAAGAACTTACAATCTAAATAAAAGATTAGAAAGAAAATCACATTCAAATATTTAATCATGCATGCAAGATATGGCATGTTGTAGGTAAACACAATAAATTCTTTTAAAGCCAAAACAAATCAAAGTATATTTCTCAACAAAATGATCCTACATCCAATTAAGAAGCCTACTGAGAATTAGGGCGCTTAATTACTGATATTTAACAAACAAATTCATATATTTCAACGCTCATAATAAGACTAACATTATAGTCTCCAAATTGTCATATATGATATCCGATTCTATATGTGACATGTTAACTTTTGAGTCTCGATCGTCACCCCATAACGAAATTTAACATAACAATAAGGATTAAAATAAAAATATATATGATATTACAATAATTAATTCAAACAAAAAATAATAAACTTGAAAAGGTATATTTTATAGAGACTAAAATTTTGACTAAGGCTATCGTTTTGTTGAATTTCAAACTGGAAGGATTGGATGTTTGACCAAAGAAGGAAATAATATTTATATATTTTGAGAAGAACTGAGTTGATGAGATTACTTTCTAACATGTATTTTAACCCGTTTGCAGTTAGAATAATCTAAATCAAGTGGACACGCAAAAGAATGCAAACATCACAGGCCATTAAATTTTCACTGCTGCTTGAATTTTCCCATTCAGAAGGCATGGATCATCCCTCCGAAAGGAGACCCTAGTAAAAAGACAAAGCATATCCAATTCCAACCCTAGAGCATGAGACATGCCAATCGTTGAAATTAAAGACAATTTTTATATATATATGCGCCGGAAAATAACAAATAATTAAGATCAAAGATGCATATAGATATTCCCCCAACCCCAGCAGGGGCTAAAATAATGTCACCCTTTATTCGGTGCTAAGGGTCAAATTAGACATCAACGGTGCAAAACTGATTCAGGACATTGAGCATCAATTCCTAATCAACACCTCGCCTCATATATTTTGCACATGTCATAAAGCCTGAGATTTTTAAGGTTGTGGGTGTGGGATCACATGCAAAAAGATCAAAACTAAAGGAGGAACATCGTTACACAGTTACAAAGCATCTAGTTCGATCGGATAGACTACAATAGTAGCTAGGATATATTCACATGTGAGCGTACTTCATCTCCTTAATTTGTCTATGAACCCAAATTACTCCCAGTGCTATTGAATTTCCCACAATTAAAGAGAAGGCAAAGCAAGCTTCCATGCATGACCAGTCAAAGAAAGCATTCGCAACATGGAAAAGTGCATGCATCCTGAAACACAAGTGCAAATGCATGCTCTAGCTCCTTTTCTTTCCTAGCTAGGTATACATTTTTTAATCAAATACGGAAGCAAGTACAACTTTGAACATTGAATTAAGAAGAAATATTATAACATTCGTTTGAACCAGTAGTATAGAAGTAGTAACCTTATCTTTTCCTGATGAATATTAAGCACGATAAACAATAAAAACGAAAAAAGAAATTCAAATGTTCTTTAGCTTTGATCACAACATGTAGAGGAAGGTGTAGGAGTGGAAGAAGACTCGAATTTGTAATGCTTGTCCACTGCAACAGATACGTCCCACGTGCAACTAAGTCCCTTAGGTATGGTCACAAGGTCCCCAGCACCAAATTGTACGGACTCAGACGAGCCTTTTGAGTAAACCTTCACCTTCCCTCTCAGCAAATAACACGTCTCTTGAGCGTCGAATTTCAGCATGTACTTCCCAGGAGGACAACCCCATCTGAAAATTATACACAAAGTTTCATCATCAGATCCACTTATGAGTCATGCATAGTTAAGATGAAATTGTTGTCCCAATATGTACCTAATAAAGGGAAAGGCAAAAGGGGGAGAGAAAAAAAAAATACTCAAGCAATAATCTATTAAGTTGATATATCTTGTTCACTCACTTGGGCCACGAATTTATACCCAGCTCTGATAGTCGTGATTTTGAAGGGTTGCGTTCCACTGTGATAGTTAGCTCTGAAGATGAGCCTGGTGTTGATGTTGATGCCATGGACATAAAAGGAAAACGAGAGAAGGAGAGAAGGAATATAGGAGTCCTGAATTAAACAGGTTAGTGGTTGGTTTTGTTGCTTAGATTTTTTTTTTTTTATATTTGTAAGGGGGCTGTGGTCAGAGGTAGAGAAATGGAATTTTTATAGATCTAAGTGTTATACAAAGAGAGAAGAATCTTTGGTCGGGTTTGTTATTATATATAAACAGAGCTTTCTATATATATAGTGTACAGTTCTATAAATTGAATGGAACCGTTAACAATTTTACTTCTAAGTTCAAAAACATTGTGCATGAACTTGGTGATAGTATTAGTTCCCTTGATGTAGTACAAATATCAAGGGAGAGAGACGAGTGATGAAAACGTGCTCTAAAGTAGTGCTATATTCTATGAACATTTGTATGCGCAAGTGTGCACTTGTGGAACTAACAATTTTGGTAAAGGATTGACTTAATGGAGACAAAAGAGGGGTCAATGACTGAGAAGGAATGTTCAGAAATGGAAATATCAGAAAGTGCAATGGCTTAAAATTAAGATGACCCTCCCACATACCTTTTGTCTTGCTTGGAGGCTGGCATCGTAATTCGCTACTGAACTGGGAGACCATTCAAATAAATTGTCACCTTTGGTCATTGGTCATTAAATTAATCTTTGATTAACATACATTGAATCTTCATATGCTTTATTTTTATAATCATATACTGTTTCAAAGTACTTATCGTTTTTTTTTTATAAAAAGTATTTGTTCGCATTTCTTGATAATTCATTTATTTAAAGAACTTGATTAAACACTTTAAAAAAATCTCTCAATACAATGACTTAAAATTAACATGATTAAATTTAGTACAATTTAGACCAATATATCATAGGTATTAATATCTTTGATAAACACGAGTTTAATAAGCATGCATCATAAATATAAAGTTTTTATGGTATCAACTAATTTAAAATTATTTTTAATTTAATTTTTAAGGTAATTATATATATATATATATATATATATATATATATAATCTATATATCAAAAAACTATTATATATAAAATTTAATTATACGACAATTTGTTTGTGATTTAAAGATACTTTTACATTATTGTATTGTATTTTTTATTCAAAATATATTTATATAATAATAACTTGGCTAAATGGATTTAGGGCATCCGCGACCTGAATTTTTAAAGTTTTAAAGTTTTTTCGAAGATTTGACTAAATAAGATCTTTTGATTTCAATTAAGCATATCAATAACTTATAAAAACACATATGTTTTTATTTTTTATAATTAAAAATTAATTTTATTATATATTTGTTAACGTTAGAAAATGTCACAATGTAACTTAATTTATAATTTAATAAAAAAAACTTAATATATTAATTTGTATCATTAAAAAATATTTAACAAATTAGTAGAATAAAAAATCTCTTGATTTATAACTTCATAAAAACATTAAGATAATAAATAAATTATTAATGATATGTAAAAATATAATATTTTTGTGGGACCTATTTAAGAATTGAAAGAAAGATGTTGGATTAAAAAAAAAAAAAACTGTTTACAAAGATGCTTAAATTTGAGAAGAGTAAAAAATGAGTGATGTATATATATGAATCTCACTTAAAAATCTAAAGATAATCTTAGTGGCAAGTAGTGTGTATTATTTTACTTTTAAAATGTTAATGTTTTTACGATTTAGTAAGAGATGCAGAAAAAATAATTATTTCTTTTAAAAAAGAAACAATATCTTTTATCTTTATCAATAAGAAACAATTATTTTAATCATAGCTATTCTAAAGGGTTTTTTTTTTTTTTTTTTGTAAAGGGTCAAAAGCTTTCGTCTTTGCTCCATTACTGTCTAGCACTTTTCAAGTCCTTCTACCTTAATGTGTGTCCTTTGTCTATGAAGTTTATGGAGTTCATCTTTCTTTGAGAAATAAATCTATTATTTAAAAACTCTAAAAAAACCAATGTATAAAGTTGCCTTCAGTGCGCTAAACAGTTAATAATTTAGAGACAAAATATAATTTATTAATAGTTCCATCTCTTTAATCTCATTTTTATTCTATTCCATCAGTAGCTATAGTTCCATCCTTTTTTGTCTTAATTATATTCTGTTTCATTGTATTTTTAAAAACGCAAATAATAGCACTTGATGTCATTCCATTCCATTAAATTCCTTCCTTTTCAAACAAGGTCAAAAGCAAAAGTATACTATATGATCATGATGACTAACTGAGTAATGGGGATGAGTAATGGGGTTCACATTTGATCAATCATCCTTCGTGTATCTTTTGCTTAAAAAACTTAACTTGTGCTACCAACAAAAGTTTATCTTCGAATATTAACATACAAAGTAGTTTTAGTTATCTCTATTTATTAGGGTAGAATTAGTATATTAAAGGTATAAATCAACCTAGCTAGGAAAAAGGGGAAAGTCACGCAGATTATTCTTTTTATATATATAATATGAACTGAATTTACCAAAGACACTGTTATTCAATGAAACGTTATTATCATTGGTTTCAATAGTTCTCTTCAAGTAGTGAAGGTTCGTCAAGATAAGGATAAGCGGATAACTATTATGTGAAGAGAAAGAATTTTTGGTAGAATTAGGTTTCAGGCTCTAGGAGCTTGCTCCTGGCTTTACAGATTGATGATTATTAATTATACATTGACCTTCAGAAAATCAATAAAAATTCTTCTTGGAAAGCATTTGCTATATACACTTTGTGTTTGTGTGTGTGATATTTAATCTTTTTAAACTTTTGTAGGGTGAATGTTATGTGTCAGTTGATGACTCTAATAGTACAAAATTTGAAGTTTATTTGATTTGAGAATATATTAAATGTCATATTAGTATCAGGAAATTGATAAAACAACATTAATTCCTCTGTTTAATATGTGGTGTTTTGAGAGTCTTTAAAAAGGTTCCTGTTAGAAATTGTTTAGTTTTACTTGCCTATGAGTTTAGATCAGTAATTTTTTCTCAATATGATCTTCTGGTTAGAGCTGTTAAAACAGGTAACTTGGCCTGGCCCGGCCCGATCCACCACGATTGAGTATTTGGTGGGCCAATCTAACTCGGCTCATTTATTAGTGAGTTCAAAAAAATTGAACCCGGCCCGGCCTATCACGAGTTGGTGGGTTAAACGGGTTGACTCACCTAATTTAAAAACTATTTTTTTTAATATACAATTAAAGCCCAAAATCATAATTAAATGATAATTCTAAATACAATCAAATAAAATCTAAATAATCTCATGTAAACATATATAATTCAAAATCATCTTAAATACTCTTTTGGGCCCAATAATTCAAATATAATTCAAACTCTAATGCTCATTTGGGCAATCGGGCCCAATAAACTGAAACTGAAGCATAAGTTTTTTTTTAACGGGTTGGTGGGTCAGTCTGGCTCACCACGGGTTTAACCCGGATGAGCCGGGTTATTAGTGAACTAGGTTCAAAATTAGCCCGTATTAAAATTTTTTTTTTTTGCCCAACCCGATTCGAACCCGTAATGGACCGGATTGACTCACCGGGCTGAGCTCATTTTAACGGCGTACAAGTATCAATGCCTTTAATTATTTCACTCGCATCATACATTCATAGTCATACTCCTCTAGAAATTGTGGACGACATGCCAATGCCATAAATGTGTGAGTGAAAGAAATTGTGGAATTCAAGTTCTTGATACCATACTATCAGAAAGTGAGAGAGACGATAGTAGTTCGAAGCTAAGCCAGCAACCTAACCAACTCAAGTAATATATTATTATTATTATTATTTTGGTAACTTTTAACTTAAAAATAAAAGTTAATAACGTGAATAAAGGCTTAAAAATATAAATGGGCCTGTATAACACCCTCAGGCCTGCTACACACGAGCCAACCTATTGTGCTTATGAAAAGATAACATGAGTTTATGAAGCAAAAAAATTATAAATGGGCCTGCATAACACCCTCAGGCACCACAGTTTATATTATAACATATAACTCAAATATGTTTAAAGTTGAAGCATTCACCACAAGTCACGACTCACAACGAATAGTAATTTTAAAGTAGAAATTTTTTAATAGCGTATTCAAGAACAAAAAAAAGAGTTTTCTTTTTTACCTCTGCATATGTAAGAGTTTTTATGAAATGATTCATTTTGTTCCAAAATTAAAAATTGAATAAAGTATATTAACTAAAAAATACATTTTTATTTGACTTGGATTTTCAGTTATCATGTTAAAAATAAAATAAGACTATTATCTTATTAAAATAAATTAGTTTTTGTATTTTACTCTCAAATAAAAGAAAAATGCAACCTGTGCATTTATTTGCATGGAGGGGTAACTTGACTAGATGTAGATGATGAAAAAGCAAGGCTCTTGTTTCTTGAAATGTGAAATTTTGCAGTCTTCAAGAAGGATCAATTTTGGGAACTGACATACATCTCTAACAATGATTATGATTATCATGGTTGAGTTGAGAGACTGAGTCATTGCGGCATTTGTCAGCAAACATTGTCCTTTATTGTCTTCTCTGTGGTCTACTAAACCAAACCAAAAATGGTTTTTTTTATTCCCTTCTTCTTTTGCTTTTTCCGGCATTCAGTGTTGACTAGTTTATGATTAATTGTTGGTATACTATTTTTTTTTAAATATTTGTATTTTTTATTTTGGAAGGTAAAGATTTAAATCTAATTTTTTAAAATGATTATTATAAAATGATAATGTCAGTTTTGTTTTTTTTTTTTCAGACTATTAGTATATTTAATTAATGTTAGAAGTATAATATGAAAATATATTATATAACTCTTAAATAATTAGTATGATTATTTCCTTAAAAAGATGTTGAATTTTTTTATATTCTTTTCACATGTGATGTACAACATCGGAAAGTAACAAACCAGTCGTTGTCTTGACACTTTCTATAAGTGCTTTTATTCAACTGTACAATGGAATATAATATGGAAACAACAATGTCTTCTCATATGTTACGTTTAGCTTGATAGTACCATTTCATATTCAAATTTTATATCATGTCATATATCCAAGTTTTATGATTATTTCTTTTTAATATATATTAAAATAGTGAGATTCTCTGAATAGCAAAATTAGAATAATATTATATTTTTAAGAAATCATTCCCTTTGCCTTTTTCTATATTTAATAAAAATAATAAAATAAATATATTTAGTATATTGAAATATAAAAAAATATTTAAAACTTTCATCGATTATATAATAAAATTAAACATGAAAATCACGATAATAATAAGTGTTAACCTTTAGTTAGACGTGTTAAAATAAATAAATAATGTCTTATTATTAGATATAACTTTTGATAAAGTAAAATATATTTTGATAAATAAATAAATAATTATATGTTTGAACAAGGTTAGGTATTCCTCGTTAAAAATAGATGAATATAATTATATTAAACTATTAATGTATGATTAACAATATTGTGAAGTTATTAAAATGTCTAACATCAATTAACTTTACGTCATAAATAGTTAATAATATCATAAAATTATTAAAATATCTACTGGTGATTAACTGTGGTTTTGTTCTAAAAAAATAACTGATTTTTAAGTAGTTAATATTAATCATATTTTTTTTAATCTCCTATTTTATAAAATTAATCACATTTATAAATATTGTTAATGGGATACTGTTGAGTGTAAAACAAAACACAAACAAACAACAACATAGATACAAATATAAGATATAGATTTCACATTAGGATTTTGTTTGAAATAATGATTGTTGAGAAATAAACAAAATTTCACATAATGAAAATAAGATGAGAAACATAAATTTATAAAATATACAGAATTTTTATTGGTTTAATATTTTTTTAGTGATAATCAAAAATAAATTTATAAAAATTTAAATTTAAGATAATAATATCATATATTAATATGAATATATCCGTAATGTCATCCTTATAATTTGATAAAATAAATATAAAAAAAAATGAAAATAAACAAAATTTCACATAATGAAAATAAGATGAGAAACATAAATTTATAAAATATACAGAATTTTTATTGGTTTAATATTTTTTTAGTGATAATCAAAAATAAATTTATAAAAATTTAAATTTAAGATAATAATATCATATATTAATATGAATATATCCGTAATGTCATCCTTATAATTTGATAAAATAAATATAAAAAAAATGAAGTGTTAATTAGCTGCATGTTTTGTAATAGTGTGTTTATATATTACTATTTATTCAATTTTAGTTTGTTCATTCGGAACTAGCAGAAGAAGGCACCTAACTATTTTAAAAGAAAAAAAAATTCATGAACAATTATTTGAAGGTTGTTTTAGACTAAAATGGAAAGAAAAAAAAACTACCAGTTACACAGGACTAGTTTAAGAATAAAATAAGAAAAGAAAAAAAATTGTAGAAGGTAATTTTTAGAAGTTGCTGAAAATAAGCAAGGAATAAATAATTTACATAAAAATGAAAATCAAAAACAAATATTAAGAAGGGTATCACTTTTATATAATGATATAAATAAAATGATTTATGTAAAAATAAAAATTTAAAATATTTTTTTAATAAAATAAATTTAAATTAGTGTAATTCACGATTTTATAGAAGGACATAATTAATCACTAATTTCTTTAAAAATTTATAATTAAATTATTATTTTATAATCAATACAAGTCCTCGTAGAAAAAATATAAACTATGAGAGATATTAAATTCAATCCCATATTAATAAGGGTTAAAAAACTTAACTAATCATGACACTCTACCATAGTAAAATAAAAAATAATTATTATAAATTATATAATAGTGTAACTATAAACTTTATTTTATTTATCTAAGTCAATAAACTGTACTGTTTAAAATAAATAAGTTAATTAAAAAAGAGTAAAAGTTATCACAATCATAAAAATTAGATATATATTATACGCATTACAATGAGGGAGGGACCTAGAGAGGAGAGTGGTGATGGCGATGAGGAGTGCCCCTGAGAATGATGACACTTCAAGGTATTGTGCTGCGTATGAGCACCTCATATCATCCGCAAACGGATGGACAAACGGAAGTGGTGAACTGCTGTTTGGAAACATTCTTACGATGTTTTTCCTCTGAACAACCAGCCAAATGGTACATGTGGCTCTCTTGGGTTGAATTTTGGTATAACACCTCCACTCATACAGCTACAGGTTCCACCCCTTTTGAGATGTTCTATGGTCGTCCTCCACCCTCCATTATCCAATACCTCCCTAGTGAGACTCAAGTAGATTCGGTTGCTGCTGTTTTGAGTGATCGAGATGAGGCACTCCGACAATTGAAATTCCATCTCCATCGGGCTCAGCAAACCATGAAGAAGAATGCTGACAAGCATCGCCGACAACTTGAATTTAGTGTGGGTGATTGGGTATATGTTAAGCTACGCCCTCATCGCCAACTCTCAGTAGCTCGTCGCATCAATCCCAAGTTGTCTCCTCGTTACTATGGGCCATTTCAAATTCTGTCTAAGGTGGGAGTCGTAGCTTACAAGTTGCAGCTTCCAAATACAGCTCAAATTCACCCGGTTTTCCATGTGTCCCAACTGAAACGTTCTGTTACTAAGGGATCCTCTTTATCTGCCATGCCCTCTGGTCTCATTTCTGCCGAGGAGGACTTTCCAGCACCAGAGACAGTGTTGGCAGTACGAGAAGGCAAGGATTCCTCTTGTTCTGCAGAATGGCTCGTCCTTTGGAAGTCACAACCTGTTGAGGAGGCCACTTGGGAGTCTGCTGCTGACATTCGCGCCAAATTTCTGGATTTTAGCCTTGAGGACAAGGCTAGTTTTGTGGGACACGGTATTGATAGATATCCTAAAATCACCTCTAAAACCCACTAGGGTGGTTTTCAAATCTCCCAAGGGGATGTTTGTAAAACACTTTTCATCTAGGACATCAAAAAGAAAAGGAGATAACAACTTTGATCTCTTTAGAGAGAAAAACCTTGTTGAATCTTGTTTATAGGAAGATTATTGATTTGGAAGGTTTTAAAAAAGTTGGATGGAACGTGGATTGTTTCATCAGGAAACAAGACTGGAAAAACTTTTTTGACATTCAAGGGTTTGTGTACCCTATACTTGTCAGAGGCTTTCATGCAAGGGCTGATGTGGACAAGGAAGCCTCCATATTATTTATAAATTTGAAGGGTTGTGACATTCTCCTTACAATAAAATATTTGGGAGAAATTCTTAACATACCAATCGATGGTTTGGAGTTATGGTTTGATATGTATGAGATTCTAAAAGTTTCCCAAAAGAAGGTGATCAAGAAAATGTTGGAGGAAGGAGAAACTAAACTGAAGTCCTCCAACTTAAAATCCTTTGGTAGGATCATACACAACATGTGTATGCATTTGCTTCTTCCTAGGGCAGACACTTTTTCAAGAGGTCATTGATCATTATCTTTTGATCATCTAATGTATATGGAAGCAAATGAAAATCTACCTTCCATACATGATTCTACAACATATGATTAAGGACATAAAACCCTCTAAATTGACTACTTTTTCCCCTTATGGAATGCTTCTAGTAATGGTGTTTAAGCACTTCTAGGCGCCTCCCAATTATGAGAATGTTTTCTCCATGATTCCAAAATTGAATGTGCACAACTTGCTCAAAATGAGGCTGAAACCTCATCCAAAGATGGCCAGAAAATGCAAATGTTCTGATGATGATGATGAAGAGAAGAAGAAGAAAAAAAAGAGAAGGGTAAAAAAAGGAAAAAGAAAGATGATGTTCCCACCATAGTTGCCCTTTCTTCCTCTTCACTAAAGTTATCTGAAAGGATTGCTAACTAGCTAAGGTTAGGAAAAACATTCAAGATTAAGGGTGGTGCCAATTTTGTACCCTCTCAAAAATTTGTGTCTGCTTCTAAAGGTTCACCTTCTAAACAAAAAGAACTTGTACACTCTACTTTTGAGTTTGAGCAATCTACTCCTATAAGTTCTACCCTTCTCGTGATCTCTATTGATGTTGAGCCTGATGTCTCAACAAGTGTACCACCTGATGCTATTGCTAAATCAACCTTTGTTGATTCTTTTGAAGTTTCCCCCATTACACCAAAATCTACTTTTGAAGAAAATGAATCATCTTCAAAAGACATTCTTTCATACGTGTTAGCCCCTCAAATTCCTACCGCTACTACTTTTCATGGTGATCACATTGATGAGCCAATGGTTGAGAAGCCCCCTTAGTAGGGTCAACAAAGAATATGGTAATGAATTTCCTTTTAAGAAAGTCATTTCATGCTCCATTGGACCATCTGATGATATTCAGACAATTACTCCAAGTCTCTGCTATATTGATTGCTAATGTCCTAATCCAACTCAAATCATGTAGTATCAACTTTGATGATTCATTCTCAATTGATTTTTTTGAACCAGATGTTGTTGTTGATGCTTGATGAGTCATTATTTTCCCTTATTTATTTATTTATTTATCTTTTTGTACTTATTTTAATTATTAATTTGGGCTTAATCACTTACTAATTGTACAATTTTACTGTTTAGGCTTCATTGTGCCAGTAATTCGAATTTAAATTAATTTCGATTCACTTTGTCTAATTTTTGTTTATCAATTATTTTCAGGTTAATTGTGGAGCATTTTTGGGCTTGGATATTAATTTTGGACTTAAGAGATAAAGTGCCACGTCAACGCCACATCAGCAACATGTTTACATTTTTGTTAACCTCATTTTTGTAATTTCGAGCCAAACACATGTGTAGAGGGCCCATTTGCAGTTTTAGGTCTTAGGTGTCTAGGTTAGGGCTGGAGGGAGGGACCTTAGTTCTTAAGGAAGTTATACCCTATTTATTAGAGTAGCCGTTATAATGAGTTGTAGGGGCTCTTTTTCAAGTTAAAAATAATCTATTTGATTTCTTAGAATAGATGCTCAAAAATCTATTTACTAAGAGTTTCAAAATATTAAAAAAAAAATATTTCTGGAAAAGATAATAATTCTTTTGGTAATATTTAAAATATTTATTAAATACATTTAATAAAATAAAACACAATAATAGTTAACAAAAAATCTTTTCGGAATTTTTTTTACATACTCATACTATTATGGATTACATCAATGAAGTATATAACTCAACTGATTAAATAAGATGCTTGAATATTATAAATTTGTTGTTATTAACTTCAAATTTCATGAATAAAAAACACTAATATGGATTATTAAATAGTTTATCCGTTATTAGTTACATTAAATATTTCTTATAAGATTACCAACTAATAAATATTCAATAATTCATATTAAGTCAACTAATTATTAATGGATTTAGCCCCAGTCAAATAAGAAATTGTGTAAAATGAAAGAAAATATATTAATTGTTAACTTATATAAAAATATTTTATAAATTTAGTTATCTTTAAATTAATAATTGATAATTGATATATTATTATCTTTTTTATTTATTACTTTTTATATCATACCAATTATCGAAACTAATAAATATTTGAACAAATAAGATGAAAAAAAATATTATGAGTTTAATAACTATATATCATTTGTAAAAAGAAACACACAATTAATTAATTTTAAAATTATTAACATGACTTTAACATAATTATTTTAAAAATAACAAACTTACGATACATTAAAATTGTAATCGAATAATATTATAAAATTATTTATTTTGTCATATATAACTTATTTTCTTTTATATTATTATTTTTTATCCTAATTATAAGTAATAAATTAATTTTTTATTCTAAATATAAACAACAATTGTTAATTTTAAAATTACTTATGAAAAAATTTCTTTATACCTTAAATTAATTTTACATTCACTTATAATTAACATTAAATATAACAATCACTCAAAATAAAAAGATGTCTTAAAAATAAATTTGAAATTTATAGCAAAATTAATTAAAATTAACTAATTTAATTACTTTTTTCTTAGTCATAATAATTTTTCTTATATTACTTAGGTCAAATTATATTTTTTCTTTTATTTTTTTAGATTCAGGTCTATTATTCTTTAAAATAATTATTTTAAACGTTTAATTCTTAAATTTATATTAAATTAGTTTTTTTGAACAATACTTATCAAAAAAGTATAATTAAGTATGTGTATATATTGCACATTTAATTTTTCATATAATATTAATGTAAATTTCACACTTAATTATTTAAAATATTTTTTTAAAATACCTATTAAAAAATTATCAAATTATTGTATACATTAATCATGAAATGCTATTTTTTAATACATTCAAATAATGTATATTTTTTTTACTTAAATTTTATATTTTATATAAACATGAAAAAAACATTAATATATATAGAGAAAGAGATTAATATATATAGAGAAAGAGTGAAAGAAAAAAGAGAAAGAGATAGAAGGAGGGATCAAATAACATAATTTATCAACTATTATAAACTTAATATAATATGAACGATTTGATTATTTTTAAATTATTATTTAATTTTAACAAAATTTGACATAAACATATTAAAAAGATATAAAGTTACAATTCATTAGTTAGTTTGACAAAATTTACGACTAATATATATATAAAGAGAAATGAAATGACATGAATGTAATTGTAAAAAGAGAAATGTTTTCCAGACCGACCTTTAAAAACAGACATAGGTGATAGGTGATAGGTGATAGGTAGAGAGAGAGAGAGAGGGGCTGTAAGTTGTAAGATGATGTTTGACGAGATGAAGAAGAGAGGTGTAGGAGGGAGTGAAGCTGAGACAGAGCGCAGAGACAACTTGGGTTCATCAACTTTATAAATCTCTACGCTCCGGCCCCACCCTCCAAACAGTAACACACTTTCCTTTTTTTGCTTCCCCTTGTTTTCTTCCGCCTCCTACTCCTACTCCTCCCTTTCCCAAGAGAGAGAGAAAGAGGTCCAAACCAAAAGATCTCAAAGGATTCCAGTCTGCTTCTGTGCGCGATCTGCATCACTCTCTCATCTTCCATCTCTTCATTTCGCAGATTCCCTCAGGTTAGGTTTGGTTTGGCTTGGTCGGTGAACCTTTCTGCTTCTCCCTTCTCTTTTGCCTCATGTTATGAGATTTGTCAACATAAAGATTGTTGCTTTCGTCGGTGGTTTCGAAAACCCACTGACTTCGTGCCATGGAAATTCTTCTTCTTTTTTTCTTCTTGCTGCTTTGTTATCTTGTTGCCTTTGCTTCCGCCACCGATGTTGAATTTGACAACTGCAACTGCGATGACGGGGAAGGGATTTGGAGCATACATAGCATACTCGTTGGCCAAAAAGTCAGCGACTTTTTCATTGCCGTTGCGTATTTCTCCATACCCATTGAACTCCTTTACTTTGTTAGCCGTTCAAACGTTCCATTCAAATTGCTCTTCCTTCAATTTATCGCCTTCATAGTGCTGTGTGGCTTGACCCATTTGCTCAATGCTTATTCTTATCACGGCGCTCCCTCCTTCCAGTTGTTGCTTTCCCTAACCGTTGCTAAGTTCCTCACTGCTCTTGTTTCCTGTGCAACTGCTTTGACCCTTCCCCCTCTCATCCCTCTTCTCCTCAAAATCAAGGTCAGGGAGCTCTTCCTGAGGCAGAATGTGATGGAGTTGGGTCAAGAGGTTGGGATGATGAAGAAACAGGAGGAGGCAAGCTGGCATGTTAGGATGCTCACTAGGGAAATTAGGAAGTCTCTTGACAAGCACACCATCTTGTACACCACCCTTGTTGAGCTTTCCAAGGCGTTGAAGTTGCATAATTGTGCAGTTTGGATGCCCAACGAGGACCGGCGAGAGATGCACTTGACCCATGAATTGAAAACAAACTCTGCCAAGAATTTTCCGACTTTCATTCCTGTGAATGATCCAGATGTATTGGAGATAAGAAAAACTAAGGGGGTGAGGATTTTGAGGCCTGATTCCGCTCTAGGGGCTGCAAGTAGTGGTGGGTCTGGGGAGTTGGGTGCTGTGGCAGCTATTCGTATGCCGTTACTTCATGTGTCGAATTTCAAAGGAGGGACTCCGGAGTTGGTTGAAACTTGTTATGCTATACTGGTTTTGGTTCTTCCAAGTTCAAGCTCAAGGGCTTGGACGTGTCATGAGATGGAGATAGTTGAAGTGGTTGCTGATCAGGTGGCTGTTGCCCTGTCTCATGCATCTGTTCTTGAAGAGTCTCAGCTGATGAGACAGAAGCTGGAAGAGAGGAACCGGGCATTGCAACAGGCTCAAAAGAACGCAATGATGGCCAGCGAGGCAAGGAAGTCGTTTCAGAAGGTGATGAGCCATGGAATGCGGAGGCCTATGCATTCTGTTCTGGGGATGCTTTCATTGTTTCAGGAGGATAATTTGAGATCTGAGCAGAAGATTATTGGTGATACAATGTTGAAAGTTGGCTATGTGATCTCGAGTTTGATTAATGATGTAATGGAGATTTCAGAAAATGAAAAGGGAGGCTTCCGGTTAGAGATGAAGCCTTTCCTTCTGCATTCAATGATGAGGGAAGCTGCTTGCATTGCCAAGTGCCTGTGTGTTTATGAAGGCTTTGGTTTTGAAATTGATGTCCAGAAGTCTTTGCCTGAAGCAGTTATGGGTGATGAGGCAAGGACTTTTCAAGTAATTTTGCACATGATTGGCTATTTATTGAACATGAACAACAAAGGGATCCTTAATTTTCGAGTTTTTCTTGAAAATGATGGTGGAGATAAGGATGATAAAAGTTTTGGAATGTGGAGATCAAGCGGTCAGAACGAGTATGTACATATAAAATTTGATTTTCAGATTACTGATAGGCCTCGGCAAGATGAAGCAACTTCAACAGCACATTATAGCCGTAGGAGGCAGTACTACAACAATGAACTTAAGGAGGGCCTAAACTTCAGCATGTGCAAGAAGTTAGTACAGGTTGGTGCATCATTATCTATATCAAATATGTGCATCACCATCTACTTGATTATATTCAGATATATAATATTTCCATGTTATCTTTTAACTGTAACTTGCTCCCTCCCCAAAGAGAATTTATGCGTTCATCCATTAACTGTATGAATGGTTAGCAGTTAGCTTTAGACCTTCGAATTACATTGATTAAACTAACCATTTGGTCCTTAATCTTATATTCAGGAATCAGTCCCTGTATCAAAAATCTTTAGTTATAGTCCATATACACCCTCATTATTTGTACACATTGGTCCACGCTTTTACTATATTTCATAAGTTTTAGTCCCTATATGTCTTTATTGGGACTAAAACTTGAGCCTTTTTCATATGAGGACTGATTTTTTAGCGAGTGTCACTGTCACCTATAGGGACCAAATGGTTAGTTTAACCTATTACAATTTATGCATATAGGATTGATTTGACAAATTTGCTGCTGACCTGTATTTTTGGAATAGGTGAGTTATCCAATGTAGAATTGTTTATGATGTTGGAAATGGGTGGTTAAAGTATCATAATAAATTAGATTGGGTGATATCTTGGTTTTGGTCGGACCAATGTTGCATATTAGCATGGTTGCTTGCATGTTACAAAACACAAGTTTGGTTCGAAAGTTTACTTGCCTCTTGTCAGTTATGGTTTTAGCCTGGGGAAATAATTTTGGGGATATCAAGTTAAATACTAGTTCTAAACGGCTATTGACATCTGCTGTTTCACTTCAATGATTTTATGTCTCCGTACAATCTTTTTTTTCTTCTTCTAGAGATGAATTTGAGATTCTATGCATCAAACATTTGACCTAGAAGAAATAAATATCACAACTTCAAAGTCAGCAAATAACTGAATGCAACATTTTTGAAGCCACCTTCTACATGCCTTAAAATATTAGGTTATCACCTTAACATTTGAAAGTTATATGTAGAGCATGGTGCTCAGTAGTGGAATCATCGTTGCTTGCTTTGCAAGTTTGCGTTAAGCTTAATTTGGCTCATATATTGCTGAATAATGGTGGCAACCTAGGATGCTCTAAGTGGATCTTTTACTCCAAATTGACTATGCACTGATCTGTCACTTTTACTGCCATTTTTTTTCATTAAAATGTAAAGCATTAATATGATAACTCCAACTATAGTTAAAGTATTTGTTTCTTCCGAGTTCTGACAATTCATCAAGAATGTCAAATTATGGGTAATCTGTTAATACAAAATTGCCGATTACTTTTATTTTATTTGACACAATTTTGATTAGATTCCTCTTTGTATGGGTTTCAGCTAAGAGCTGGCATTTCGTTTCTGTTGTGACTTAACTCAAAGTCATGATGTCCTTGGCTTAACATCATTGCAGGGAAGCTATTTTCCCGTATATTGGAAAAATCCTTGTGTTTACCTCATATATGTGTGTAACATCATTTATCCTTTGTGGGAGTTTATCCTTCCTAGATAATTGAAACTATGGATTCTGTTAGGCTCACAACTCAGGCGGGAAATATGAAGATTATAGTAGCAAAACGAAATGGCAATGATTACCATGTCTTTTTTTATTTGTAAGATCATTTCATTAGTTTTAGAATTTTCCTACCATTACTAGACTAGAAAAAATTGTTGTTTCCTTTGATCAGTTGGATTAGGCGACCAATAAGAAGGTTCGTGCATTTTGGGGTTACGTGGGTGTATGTATAGCTAGCTAAATCATAAAGTGGCATCTTGTGTAGCTCGGGAATCTGGTAAAGTAGGATCCTGCTTTTTATACACTCAAGATTTACAATAATATTCATTTAAGTACACAATTCTTATACTAAGGCACCGTAATTTCTGTGTTTCACTTTCATCCTAAACCCAAGTTTGTAGCTCTGAGCCTCTGACCCTTCCCTTCTGTTAGATGTTTTCAGAGAATGACCTTATGTAATGTTTTAATTCTTCACCGAATGATTGTTTTCGTAATTTTCTGACTTTATGGAAAAATATGCAGATGATGCAAGGTAATATATGGATATCACCAAACTCCCTGGGTTTGGTGCAAGGCATGACTCTTCTTCTAAAGTTTCAGATAGGACCAGCATCACTTGAAAAATCAATATTTGCATCTAAAGATTATTCAAATTCACAGTTGAGAGGCATAAAGGTTGTGTTAGCCGATGATGATGGTGTGAACAGGACCGTGACCAAGAAGCTACTTGAGAAGCTTGGTTGTCAAGTAACTGCTGTTTCATCAGGGTTTGAGTGCCTGAGTGCTGTAAGTGGCTCTGGTAACTCATTCCGAATCATCCTGTTGGATCTTCACATGCCTGAAATGGATGGTTTTGAAGTGGCAAAGAGGATCCGCAAGTTCCATAGCCGTAGTTGGCCCTTGATTGTAGCTCTTATAGCAAGTGCAGAAGAACATGTGAGGGAGAAATGCCTCCTTGCGGGAATGAATGGAATCATCCAAAAACCTATCCTACTTCATCAGATAGCAGATGAACTTAGAACAGTCCTACAAAGAGCAGGTGAAAAAATGTGAAGACAGTTTTGGAAAAACTTGCTTGGTTTAAGAAAATGTGATTTCATTAATAATAATTACAAAAATTAAAATGTCATGTTATTTTTACTTTTTTCCTATTTTCAAGCATTTGTAGGTTATGCTTTTATTATTATTTTTATTTTGGTAATGAGAGATAAAACAACAAAACAAAAACAAGATAATATTACAAACGGGGATACTGATGCTGGTTTATACGCTACAACTTGCCTCCATCGAACCGAGAGAGATGATATTAGGAGAAGAATCAAATGCGGGTTGATATTCGGAGGTGTTTGTTCTAAGGTTTTAGGAATACACTCATAAGAATATGATTTTTATGTATATTTGGATGATATTTAGTAATTTAACCAAAAAAAAATATAATTAAAAAAGTTGAAAAATAAAATTAGAAGAAAAAATGAGGTAAAATAAAATGGGGGTAGTCATTGTTGAAAAATAACTTTCATTTTCATCAGAATATAGAGATTCATCTTTCACTGTGAATAAGAAATAAAGCAAACGTAAATATTTTATATTATGAGAATGCAATAATTCTGGTGAATATTCTTTTAAAACTTGTAATAAACACAGATACTCTTTTTTGAGAGCCCATTGATACTTTAAAACAAGCGTGAAATTTTTCAATATTTGAGTGTTGTTAATTTATCTTAAACCATATCACTATATAAAGGGATAAATGAGTATCCACTTTTTTTTTTATAAAGAAAATTATACTTTTTATTTTATATTCTAAATTTTAATTTACTAATGCATAAATGAAATGAGAAAAGATATGTATATATATATATATATATATATATATATATATATATATAAATTGTTCATCCATTTAATAATAACTGTTCACTTTTTATTTTTTATTTTAACATAGTGTCTTTTTTTCTTAGTATACCTGCTTGAGAGTACACTCGTAGTCTTCTGGGGTGTAGGAGGGCCGAACGAGAGCTTTAGGTGGATTATTCGGAGGGGGGAGGTACCTGCAAAAGACACTCCAACGCTCAAGTCAGGATATGCACGATTTTCTAGGGTAATAAAATGAACAGTGACATACCTCTTTACGTGTGACCTATTTATAATACCTGACATAGGCCTGAACATGGTGGGCCTTATCTGACATTTACCAAATTAGGTAATATGATGTTAATCGGTTGATTATGTCTTAATCATGTACTTATCCTTACTAATCATAATCGTCGTTCTAATTATTCGATGCTGACTTTTGGCCGAGCCGAGACAACACGGCCGAAACGTCCTCTCTCGACTTCTGGCTGAGCCGATAGGGGAAGAGCACAGTTCTTAGTGCCCTGTCGGACCGAAGTGGTATTCGAGCAGTATCATCTGATAGTATATGGCATGTCGGTCCACGTGGCCGATTCACGTGGCCGATCCACGTGGCCGAGCCGAGATGTTGCCTGAGCTGTGTCAATATCTGATAGGATATGACGTGCCGGTCCACGTGGCCAATCCACGTGGCCGATAGGGTCCTTCCGGTACACTTAGTAATTTATAAATCAGCAATAATTTTTCTTGAGAAAATTTTCCTATATGATAACATCACGTGAGGTGAAGTAAATACAAGACATTAAACTAAACATACTAAAAAAAGTGAGCTTTACTCACAATTTTGTGGTGTCCTCCTTTGGAGGTTTATGAACTAATAAAATTTTGCTTGACCCTTCCTGTATATATAATATTAGAAGCCCTCCCTGCTAGGAAAAAACTTGGGACTAGGAAAAAGTAAGAATGAAAGAAACATGAGAAAAGAAAAATGAATCAAGAGTAAGTAAAATTTTAGGTTTTTTGGACTAATTTTAATGAAAAATTAAGACGTGTTCAATTAGGAATAAACAAGAAAGGCGCATGGATTGGGCAAATGGAGCGAGAATGAGTGGTGAAGTCGAAGCAGAAGCAGAATACTTCTGCAAGGACTTCGAGTGGGAAGACCTAAGATCAGAGGTGGAAGCAAACCCTTGCTTTTCCTACCACTTCCAATCCGCTCCTTCATCGTCGTCGCCGTCGCCACAATCCGACGTCCAAGCATGGAAGCAATTTCACCTCCGTCATTCCTCCGGAAAATTCTTCAAGGTCCCTTCCCTTTTCCTCTTCGTATTCTCGCATTCAATTTCCCCAACTAACCTCTTCATTCCATCCAGGAGAGACGCTATTTGTTGAAAGAGTTCCCCGAACTACTTTCCTGTCCCCCAAACTCTAAGCTCTTGGAAATTGGTTGCGGCAATGCCAGCACTGCTCTTCCTATTCTACGGTTCGCTTCTTCTCTTGGATTATTTTCCTTTATCGTTTCATTTTTGGGGATTTTTTTTTAATGTTTATTCCTGTGTAGGGCCAACAAAGATGTGATTGTTTATGCATGCGACTGTAGTGACGAGACTCTTGAGAGGGCTAAAGAGATTGTAAGTGGTGCCACCACAGTTGCTTCCATTCACCATCGTTTCCGTACATTCTGTTGTGACCTTTCCACTAATGGATTCCCATATTGGCTGGCATGCAACTCTTGCCGAGATCAATTCTCACAAAAGCAGTCACAATGCTTGTCAGGTTACTTTGCTTTACCTTTATGCTACGCTTAATTGCACATTTTGCCTCTCATGTTTCATAGTTTTGCAAATCTTGCCTCTCAACTTTCAAATTTGGACATTTTACCACCAAATTTCAAAATTATGCACATTTTGTTGCCCCTTAGTTGACTGTTTGAATTATAGCGGTGTCACACAGTTAACTAAAAAGATGATAAAATGTGTGAAATGTTAAAATTTAGGTGACAAAATGTGCAAATTTTAAAGTTGACATCGGAAAAATTCGCAAAATGGTGAAACATGGATAGTAAAAAATACAATTAAGCCTTTATGTTATGCAATGACTCAATCAAAAAGTTAGACTTGGTTCTTTCTGTTCTCTCTAGGTGTCAGAGAGAATAATGGACTGCATTCTACCAATCCCTATCCGTCCGAAGAGTTTGGCTGTTGTGTTGGCGGAGTAGATTTTGTAACGCTGGTCTGAACTTTTCTCCTCTAAAATTATCAGTAGTTCAATGATATGGTGCTTCCAGACCTTGACCATATGTTAGAACTATAATCATCACCTTGAGTTACTTTAGGGTTAAATATTATTTCAAATGTTTCTCTTTGAAAGCGATGCAGAACATATGTTACAGATATATACTCTCCATGTCCATGTATTAGTCTTTTTCTAAAACGAAAACTTTGTTTCAATTTATCTGTCCATGTATTAGTCTTTGAACTATAATCGAGGAAGGTTGTGCATAGAAGTCATTCAGAGAGATTGTTTGCAGAACTGGGTCCTGTAACCCAGTTGAAAAGGGGGACCCTACCCTTCTGAAGGATTATCTTCCTTGTTCATTCATTCTCCAATAACAGCACTGTATTCTTTCCTCCATTCTCCATTCTTGCCTCTTCTATATTCTATTCATATTGCATTTTGCTACCTAGTGGGTTGTTTTCTAAGTTGTAAAACCACGTGACATTTTGCTTTAGTGATCTTTATTATTTTTATGTCAACTCAGCTTTTCCTTGATTCTTTATGGTGCGTAATGCTCATTATCTCTACATAGCTATAATTTGGAATATGCATGCATTCATACTTTAATGTCAGTGGTTTCATATGTACTTTTTAGTCTACTTGTGCCTCTTATTTATCAGTTGCTTTTATGTTTACTACAACTTTCTGAGACTCATTGTGTATATGATTGTTTTACCTTAGTGATGTTTAATCTCTCTATGTTAGCTATCTAAATTCTTCAGTATACACAAACGGCTTTATCTGTATTCTGCTTAATAAATCATAAACTCAGTCGACTATTGTAAGTTAAAAATTCTTGACCTCTCATTCTGTAAGTTGCTTGTTTTGACATGTCATGTCAGGTATTCACTTTATCAGCTGTACCTCCGGAAAGGATGCCAAAGTCTATCAAGGAATGTTTTGTTGTGTTAAAGCCAGGAGGCATGGTTTTTTTTAGGGACTACGGTAATAAACAAACTAGCCAACTTATTCTGTACAGAGCGTTTGGGAAAATAATTTCTTAGCTTTATGTTATCCTAAGTAGTTCTTTAGAAAGCTTAAGTACTGGCAATGACTGAACCCCTTGTAATCAGGCCTCTATGATATGACCATGCTTCGATTTGAGCCTGATAAGCGAGTGGGATTCAGGGAATACATGCGGTCTGATGGAACGCGATCATATTTCTTTTGTTTGGATACTGTACGGAGCCTATTTTTGGGTGCAGGCTTCACCGAGGTACTTTTCTTGCTTAATTGGAAAACAAAAATATTTGGGGTTGGTATAACTGATGGATCTCTAATTATTTTTTAATAGAAACATAAGTTGACTTGTGTTCCTGCACAAGGTTTATTATTGCTAGTTCTTGTATGTGTGAATTGAGTTTAGAATCTGTTGACTGTTGGTGTTTGTTCATGATAACTTTCATCTGTCAACCTTCTTTTAAAATTTTAGGTGTCTCCAATGTTTGTGGTGTGTTTCTGACATTATTTTCCACTGACTACCTCTAATTTGTTAGTTTATGAACTGTGCAGCTTGAGCTTGATTATTGTTGTGTGAAGTCTGTAAATCGTCAGAAAGGGAAGTGCATGCGAAGAGTGTGGGTTCACGGGAAGTTCCAGAAACCTGCGCTTGGTTGTCAATAATCTCCCTTGGTGTGCGGTGTGCCTGTGTGAAGCCGGATGAAGAGTATAAAAGAGAAACAGGTAGAAAATACAAGTCAAGAATTCTGATGTTTCTGTAGTCCTTTATTTTCACTCCCAAATTTTTGGTGCACTGGGCATTTGAAGTGGTTAGTTTTGGAAGAAAAAAAAAAATTAGATCTCATGACTGCAGTTCAGATAATCTATTTATGAATTGCTTACGTGTGTTGTATTCAATGAGAATTAGTTAAGTTACAATTTTCTTATTATTAAAAAAATATTAATCTGGAAATTACAGCCAAAATTCATGCTAACTTGCACGCTAGCGGGGCCCAAATTACAAATAATAAATGGACACTGGATTAAGCAATAGCTGTTTTAATGCTAGCTAGAATCAGGAATGAGATAAGCGTGTCTTAGTGAGCCGTGTGGAACACTTTGGAGGAGTTTAAGTTTAATGGAATGGAGTATGGTATGGTGTATAGACAGTGGACAGTGCTGCTGTTATTGTAGTTGAACAATGTCACATGCAACCTTCTTTGACTACTGAACGCTTACCCAGTCAGTCAATATAATTTAGAAGTGCAAACTGCAAATGAAGTGCGACCACTCCACATTTTTTTGAGTTTTGGAGATAAGGTGCAACGTGTCCAATAGGTATGCATTATGTTTCCTACTATTGTGTTTGGTTACAGAGGAGGGTCGGAGGGTTTTTGTTTTTGTTTTTTTTTTTTAATAAAATTTTGCTATTTGGTTTAATTTTTAAGAGGGAATAAGAGGATGAGAAAGGGAAGTAAAATCCTTTTTCATCAGTTTAGCGTCTCTTCAATATTGACGAGATTTGAAGGGGGGAGAAGAGATTTAAAATATTGAGTGAAGTATTTAAATTATCTTATGTTTTTTAAATTAAAATTATAAGGATATAAAGGTAAAATAATTTTTAAAATCAAATAAGAAACTAGTTTTTTTAACTCTCTTCCATTAAAATATTTTTCCTCTCTTCCTTTTAACCGTACAAAATTTCTAACTCTTCATTTTTTTTAATCAAATAGACCCTAAAATAATAAAAATTAAAATGTAAAGTTTTGCCACCAAGACTGGACCATTTCAACCTTACATGAGAAACTTATTTTTTAATACTCTATAATACATAATGGGACTTGGTTGAACTTTTTCATATATGGAAATGAAATAATATGAAAGTATCATTTTTATGTGAAAATTAAAATATTCAATTTCAATCTTTAAATTAAAATAAATAAGTTAAATTAAAAGAATATAAATAAAATCATAATAATTTTTATTATTATTGTTATTATTATAGTCATTGTGCCTTTGTCATCACCATGTCCTAACCCGTCTTATTATTAAACCTACTCTTAGACAAAAAAATTATGTGGAAAATTGTTATTTTATGCCACTTTTGAGTAAAACAAAATTTATAATTAGAGTTAAAATCAGTCAAGTTAACAATTAAATCAAACATATGAAGAATTTTAAAAACTTTAATGTTAACCAATATTAATCATTCAAAATGCATAACATAAATATATTTTTTTATATATAAAAATTTTGTAACAAAGAAAAACTTGAAAATTTAATATATATATA